TAATTTAAATAAGACTTCAAAACCAACAACTTAAGTAACATAATGTAATTAAGTAAATAGATAACAAAAAGTTTAAATCCATTCTACAACTAAATAAATAAGACTTTAAATTTCAGTTAAATAATAGGGACTATTACCACTAAAAATGTTACATGCCCTAGAATGAACCACTACATTTTTTTTAAAAAAAAAACATAGATAAAATGAAAATGACAAGACTTTTGCAAATATGAGAGCACAGTTTTTTAAATTGGGTTACACAAAAAGTGCAGTTTGGATTATAAAAATACAAAACTACCTTAAGGAAAAAAATATATTTTGGTGCAATATAAATTCAAAACATATTTTCTATACAAGTACCCATTTTTGCACCTAGCCTACGAGATAGAAGGTCAATTGGTTATAAACCTTTGCAAAATGTGCAATCCCAGTTTTAGATACTGACTTCAAATCTAAATCCTCCAAAAAAGTCCCCACTTAAAACAATCAAGAATCCACCATTCTTCTAAGCATTCTTTATTGCTTCAACATTTTTTTGGTATCCATTCATGAAACCATTGACAATATCTCACCCATGGTAACAGGATCTTTAACAATAACTTCCTACAGGCCAAGATGCTCCAAACCCCTATTGAGCCTCCGTTCTTGCTACGTATGGCATGGGGAGGTATGAGATATAATTGTGTGTGCATGTGTGTCTGTGTAAGTACAGTTGAGATAGTATCCAAAGTGATAGCCACACGATGAACTTTGCCATGAAGAATCTGACCTTCCAATAGGCAGCAGTTTACTGTTTGCTCATGCTCTTCGAAATACTACCCAGTGCCTTGGCCTTTTCCCTAAGAAGGTATTTCTGTGTCTTTCCGGTAGAAGTCTTTGGCAAATCCTCAAAAATAACAGTTCGAGGAGCCATATAATGGGGCAAGTTATCCCGACAGTACTTGATAAGCTCCTCTTCACTAGCATTGCATCCATCCTTCAACTTCACAAAGGCACAAGGTGTCTCCCCCCAGTGATCATCTGGTCTCGCCACCACAGCTGCCTCAAGAACAGCTGAATGGCCACAAAGCACAGATTCAACTTCAATTGAACTAATATTTTCTCCACCAGAAATGATGATGTCCTTTGAGCGGTCCTTGATTTCTATGTAACCATCAGAGTGTCTCACTCCTAAGTCCCCACTGTGAAACCATCCACCAGTGAAAGCCTCTGTTGTTGCTTCAACATTTTTAAGGTATCCATTCATGACAGTGTTACCCCTGAACATAATCTCCCCTATGGTTTTTGCATCAGCTGGTACACTCTTCATGGTAAAAGGATCTTTAACATCAAATTCCTCCAACCCAACATGGTGCAACCCCTGCCGAGCCTTGATTTTAGCCTGTGCATCTCGAGGAAGGACATTCCATTCAGGTTTCCAGGTGCAAAACACTCCAGGGCCATAAGTTTCTGTCAACCCATACAACTGAGTCACACTGAATCCTAGCTCTTCCATCTTGAAGAGAACATTTGGAGGTGGTGCTGAGCCACCTGTTGTCACCAATACCTTCCCTGGAAGTGGCTTTTGGTCACTAGCAGGAGCATTTAACATCATGTTTAAAACTGTTGGCGCGCCACCCATGTGTGTAACCTTGTGCTGAGCAATATTGCTAAATATTCCCTTTGCAGTGACATTTCTTAAGCAAATATTTGTGCCACCTTGTGCAGCCACACCCCATGCGAGGCACCATCCATTGCAATGAAACATGGGGACAGTCCATAGATACACAGGCATTGATCCCATTTCACTACTAAGAACTGTTGCCAGAGAATTAAGATAGGCACCTCTATGGCTATAAATGACGCCTTTGGGACTCGATGTTGTGCCAGATGTGTAATTAAGCGAGATAGGTTCCCATTCATCTTTTGGCCTTCTGATCTCAAAATCTGCTTTTCCCATGGCTAAAAAACTCTCATATTCCAAGTCTTTTGTTTGTGTAAAATTGGTTTTGCTGCTGATGGGAGCTTGCTGTTCAGGTTCTTGGATCAAGATCAGCTGAGGCAGCTTTGTCCTGGCCTTGGACAGTATTTGAAATGCTCCCTGAGCAATATGGAGAAAGTGGTAATCAACAAAAATGATTTTGGCCTCTGAATGTCTCAGCAGCAATGCCACCATGGCTGAATCAAGACGTATATTAAGTGTACAAAGAATTGCCCCAGCCATTGGAACACCAAAATGCAGCTCATACATAGCTGGGATATTTGGAGCCAAAGCAGCAACCTGCTCAAAAAACAAAAGATGATCATAACTCAAAGCACAAAAAAGGTTAGAGAATATGAACCGCATGGCCTGCTGAGTTGAATGACCAGTAGACTTACAGGGACGCACATAAATATAGATAGCTGAAAAAATTTTCAAACGCTGTGAGAATTTAGAAAAGAAACAGCATAACAACTTGAAGCAAACTTATATATCAGACAAATTTCTCAACTTATGGTCAAAAAAACAACTGCCGGGGGCCAAAATTCTTCCAAGAGAGACAGCAGGGGGAAAGGACGGGGTTTCAGGTTACTCAGAATCTGCTCTTTGCAATCTCTTCAACTCTTAATATGGGTAGAGAAATGCATAAGCCACTAAAACAATTAAAAAGTGTCCTGAAGAATCATAACAATTCTCTCAAGTAAAGTCACATAAAAGGAAAAAGAAATCCAATTTTGCCAAAAGCTA